CTCTTTATTTTATAATCTCATTAGAAATCATATAAAGACAACTCCTATTTTTGTAAGCTATTTCTGCAAGTATTTTACGATTAAGAAACTACTGTAAACACATAAAAACACAAAACAAAAAAACCTAGACACTGTGTCAGTGTGTGTGCGCGTGCATGTTTCTCCCGTACCTTTTATCAAATAGGTGGTGTGTGGTGCTACTACGCAGGATTGAAGATTGAGTACCTGAAAATCATAGGACTCAAAAGTCATCTTTAAAAAGAAAGAAGAAGAATACAATATGACATGAATACTCAGGGATAGGCAATCAAACTGAGTCTAGTGAACCCCCGCCTAAAATTGAGCCACCAGGAAACCCAAATGAAAAATAGAAAGAAGACCCAACTTTAATCTTAAGTAATGTATGTGTTGGATTCTTCCATATTTTATGAAAATAGAAAATATGATATGAAACAAACTTTCTTGCCTGTAGTTTTGAGGATGTCTGGGGTTAATTCATGTTCTTGTGCCAAGGAAATAATCTGTCAAATTCAATCACAAATGAGGTTAAGGTTATTGTCAATAGCTAATACAACATACATTAAGAAGGTTCTTGACAATGAATAAATAATCTCAAAAATCATACTCAACCTGCATTGTAGAAACGAACATTGTAGCTTATATACATTCTCAATGTCCTCAGCAAGTCCTCTCTCCAATGGCTCGGCAATCTACAAAAGGTTTTTAGGAGATTTAATATAAAAACTGAATCACATAAAATTTCTGAAATTAGGTTGCTTCTTACCGGCCTACTAACACTCCGGTTTGAAGATATGACTACAGAACAGAGGTCTAAGGCCGAAGGGGTAGAGGAAGACCTAGGAAGACTTTGGAAGAGACTTTAAGAAAAGACTTAGAGTACTTGGATTTAACGGAAGATATGATACAGAATTCGAGCCCAATGGCATTCTAGGATTCATATAGTCAATCCCACTTAGTAGGAAAAGGCTTTGTTGTTGTTGTTGTAGGTTGCTTCTTACCATAGTTATTTTATTCTTCTTATTGGGTGTTTCAGCAAAACATTTCATGGACAAAGACTATACCATTGTTTCACAAAATGAAACAACAAGATCAACCTACAAACAAAAGCATATCCATCAAGAAAAGAAGAAAATAAAATTTTACGTTCTTAAGGGGTGGAAAAGTTACTTTAAAAAGAAAAAAACGTGAAGAGAGGATGAGGATTGGGAGCAAACAATTACCTTGACTTCTAATTCCAAATAAAGCTCTCTTAGGTCCTTCATTATTGAATCCAAGTAGAGTTCTCCTGTCCCTAATATCGTGTGCTCCCCAAACTCCTCAACTTTAGTGATTGCAGAGTATAACTCTTGCTTATCTTTCTTAGTCCTTCCACCATCTTTGGAAGCACACATGGATTTAGTGGTTGGGTTGCTTCCTAATTATCTCTTTGATTATTTATTTTTTTGTTCTTTCTTGTTTTTTATCCCATTTTAAACCTCATTAATAGATTTTATTTTTTATTTTTATAATCAACCTATATCACAGGTTAATTATATTTATCTACCTATATAACATTTTTTTTATTTTTTATAATCAAGTAAGATTGATGTGTCTTGCTTGTAGATATATTATGTTTTTTCTACCTTTTAGTTAAGTTTCATATCTTACTTATAGGTATGATATACATTCATATATTTGTTACTTGAGTTAGGGTAGAATGATTTGCAGATAGATTTATGTCAATATGTTTTTTTTTTTTGTTATAAGATATTAATTATATTTTTTGGGGTTGAAAATTAATAATATTAGAAGATTTTAATTGACTTTTAATATTTTTAGAAAATATAAAATGAGCATTAAAGAAATAAATACATATAATTAGGTAATTGGACTCACTCCTAAAAACCATCTATATTTTTGGACCTCGATCTAAAAGCCCCAAAAAAGAACACATCAACAATCCCAAATCACAAATTCTGATGCAATCAAATTAATCCCCTACTACCCTACTCATTTCTCAAAATTAAAACCCTAATAAAAAATTAATCTCCAAATCCCCAATTTGTAAATCCATAATTTGAACCCTAATTCAAAAGCTCTACATCGTAATCCCTCATTCGTTTTATAAATATGAAATTGCTTACCCTAAATGGCTTGAACGCCGGAGATAAAGCAAAGAGGATTGTGGTGAACAGCGCAGTACATGGTGCGCCGGTGTTGGTACAGAAACAACTCGGCAGAAGAAGCAACGACCCAAGTTTAATCATCATAGAAAAGAAATTGATATTTACCAGAGTTTGATTTGGGGGTGTCTTTTTGTTGGAGATATGCCCTGAAAGTCAATATTTGGAAGAAACCTTTCAGGACAATGTCTGTATGTATAGATAACTCTAATATAGCAAAGGGCAAAGTCACTCATTAAGACTATCTCAATAAACGATATACGTCCAAAATAGTGAATCCATGAACAATGGATCGATGGAAGAAGTAATTTAATGATGTTAGACTGCAGATACCTTCTTCACATAACCATAATGTCCAAAAGGTTCCTGGTCATAGGATTGTCAGAGGGACACTAACAATACATAGACTAGTACATACTATGTCCCCTTCAAATTGGAAGGATGGAAAATCTCAAGCAATTCGTGTAGTGACACTAAGACAAGTATATAGGTGCTCATTAAATGAATGAGTTCACTGAACACAATTAAACTAGAGTACTTGCATGGAGGTCTACTCACATGTCACGCAAGTAACTCTACTGGTTGGAATAATGTAAGTAATCCCTTGACCTGAGACATCATAGTTGTCTTGGGGATACGTTGCTGATCATTTGATAATGAGACGTGACCGCATCTCATCTTTGATGCATTGTTGAGGTCAGTGATTTATTCTCAGAGGCATGTGAATGATCAACAAGGAATCTTTAATCCTCAGTACGAGAGAAAGAATACTCTAAGATATGATTCGAGAATCTTCGGTCGAAGTATCGAGCGTAATGATGGAAGACATTCCTATACGACTCAATTGAATCATATGACATAGTTTAATCACATTAAGGGTTTGACATAAAGTATATGTACCTAGTAATGTGATTAAGAGTATTGATTTAGAGAATGATCAAATTACATTGTAATTCCAATTGAATAGGTTCTCCGACCAAATTCTACATTAGCTTGGGTAGCCATGATATCTGGTTAGATGTCACTCATGGCTTGTGGGTCCTTTTTGATGATTGAATAAGTAGTCATCAAAGAAGAAGGAGAATTAAAAGTAAGTTTTAATTCACTAAGTGATTGGATAAATACTAATCAATTGGATTGGTATCAATTATTTCACTGCCTCGCTAATTAGAACCTAAAACGATTGTACACCAATACACTCTTGTGGTGACACAACTAAAGGATGAAGGAATTAATTAATTGGATTAATTAAGTGTTATGATTAATTAGAAAGTCTAAAGAAACCATATAAGCGATGAAAGATTGTTTCGGGCTTAAAGAAAAGTTTGGGTTCATTCGGGCCCATTGGGCCGAAATCCATTGGGTCCTTTATTCAAGCATAGGATGACTTGAAATGATAAAAACCCAAAGTCCAAACCAACACTAAATGGCCGGCCAAAGATGAGGAAAGAAGAGAGAGAGAAATAGTCAATTAGTTGACTTACTTCTTTTACCTTTATAAAAGGAGTTTAATGAAAAAGTTTCATTAGGGCTTTTGTGTGTTCTTTTCAACAAGAGAAAAACAAGTCTCTCTCTCTTTACAGACACATAGCTGGCCACCAAGAGGAGAAAATAGCTAATCATATCTTCTCCTTTTGGTTATTCCATCATCCATCTCACTACACTAGTGGGTGTGGATCTTTAGAGGTCTTCTACCTTGGAGACTATAGGAGAATCAAAGGAGTTCCAAACCTATCAAGGTGGAGGAAGCAAGGAGGGAGGCTAGGCTTAAGAACTTCCAAGAGGAGAGGTCTTGGAGGTGGTCACTTATTGGACTCAAGTCAAGGTCCAAAGGTAAAACACATTTCTCCTTAAACTTGTTTTTCAATAAGTTTCTTAGATGCAACCAATATGAATCTATGCTTCTTGAAGGAGATTTGCATGACTATAGCTTTGATAATATGCTTCCGTTGCTTATGTATGTTAATTTTGAATTGAATATGCATGCTAGTCACCTGAAATCCCACTTAAATCTCAACTTTTCCCTTCACTTTTCTTGTTAGACTAAACATATAAACCAAGAACGTGTAACATGAATCACAGCCATCCAAACACAAACTGTAGTTCATAACTATTGTACAGAGTAGAGCTCGTACCTGCAAATCCAGCTTTACACAAACACACAACCTCCCCAAAACCAAAAATAAGGAACGTAGGATTTTAGAACAAAATAAAACTTTGGAGGCCAATTTCAGTGAATATTTTGCGAAATAAAGTACGAAGGATTTGAGAGGACCGCAATGAGTCAAATGAATCCAACTCTACAAAGTCTGTGCAATGAGTCAAATGCACTGCACCATATGATACGATCAAATCCACAACCTGGTTTTGAAATTGCTCATAGATGACCAAGTCAGTTTTCTCTTCGCATATTCCCATTTGTTGTCACGCAGGAATTACTACTCCCATGACTCACAGCTCCACCAGTAGATTGCCCGTTTTGCTGTGGCTTCGGCGTTTTCTTTCTACTAAGTTTGGCATCATAAAACAATTTAAAATCTTAAAAATATAAATAATTTTAGATGAGATAAATCCATGAATTCTTTATACAATCCTATCCATCATATCAAGATTCGCAACTGCACAATCTGTTCAACCAAAATTCAATCCAAATCTACTAAACTCTAAGCATGTAATCAATCCCAAAACAAAAATTATATTAAAATAAATTTGAAAACAGAAGCAAGCAAGAAAAAATAAAAAAAATAAAAAAACAAACGCAAATAGAAGGTTTGATTTTGTTTGCATATAAAATTAAAAAGGTGCATGCATTCAACATCCACGTTAAGAAGCTAAGAATTGGATTGAGTTCATATCAGCCACATCGTACCCTTATCTCAATCATTACTCTGTCTAAATCCTAAATTTGTAGAAAATGCATCGAAATAACATAGTGGTACATTGTGTTGGTGCAATTCTATAGACACGTTATCATTGACATTCCAAAGTTTTCGTGTATACATTTTAAAAAATGAAAGGAGAAAAAAATGTACAACAAAAACCTATCAGGAGCGATATCAGAGATTTCGATGGGAGCCCAAGACATCAACATACTTCTAATACAAGGCAAGCTTCCTTCATAGTACACACCATTCTCTGCACCTTCACCAGCAAAAATGAAAGAATTGTAATAATTAGTGCTTAAAGTGAAATTAATAAAAAAATTAATTAAGGAGTAGGCAGTTACCCCCAAATTGGGCTGGAAATCAACCAAAATTTCGGACAGAAATTGAAAATCTCAAATGGAGGAAAAAAAAAAAAAAAAAAAAGACAAACACAACAAATTGTTTTCCCAAAATCCACCCAGCCTTCGCTCGAAAGAAACAACGATCAACAAAGGGAAGCACAAAGACTCTAATTCAAGTAAAATAAAACATTCAAACAACTCAAATCAAACGTTCAAAATAAAGTATACTGTCGACATAAAACTGACCAGGAAACCCTAGCTTTTCTGGGTAACATTTTCTTCGAATTAAACTGAAAATTTGAAGAAGGTGAGAATCGTGACAGAGAGTGAGAGAGAGAAATGAAAGGAAAAGAAAAATGGAAAAGAACTGGAAGCAGGAGCTCCAATGATGATTGAAATTCGGTCCCGAATTGAAAAAAAATATGTGAAAGAGAGAGAGAGAGAGAGAGCCGGAGACAAACTTGGTTCGCTTACGGAGGCTAGGGTTCCAGGCTTGAGAGAAAGCTCGAGAAATCTATGGAAGCAAATGGAAGAGCTCTAGTTTTCCACCTTTCTTCTTTTCCCAGATGACTAAAATGCGTAAATTCAGCCTCGTTCCCTTACCAACACGCGTCTACCATGGGCAAAATCGACAATTTGCTGCAAGATCTAAAAGAATGCTAAATGTTGTGAAGAAAGTGAGGGGGCAAATCCGTCCCCACACTATAGATCAATAGTGCCATCTAAAACTTAGTTTTAGTATATATAAATTTTCCTTTTTTCTTCCTTTTGTTTTCTTTATTCACACATATACAATTCACCACAGTTATAATAGTAATAATAAATATAATTGCAAATAATAATTAAGTTTAATATATAATTTGGTAATTGAAAATTAGTGTTCATGCTCAATGACGAACGTTCATACAATCAGGTTGAGAAAATATCGACTGTTAAGACCATATTTTAGTATAATCTAGATTATGATGATGAATCTTCTGAAATGGTTTGTAGTAGAATTTTATCAGTGCAACGTTAGAAGCATTTTGATAACGTATTATGGCTTATAGGTCTAAGGGGTGCGGCAAAGAGAGAAACAACAACAACAACAACAAAACATTTTCCTACTAAGTGAGGTTGGCTATATAAATCCTAGAACGTCATTGCGCTCGGTTTAGTGTCACTTCTTCCGTTAGATCCAAGTACTCTAAGTCTTTTCTTAGAGTTTCTTCCAAAGTCTTCATAGGTCTTCCTCTACCCCTTCGACCCTAAACCTCTATCCCGTAATCGCATCTTCTATCCGAAGCGTCAGTAGGCCTTCGTTTCACATGTCTAAATCTCCGTAACTAATTTTCTTTCATATTTCCTTCAATTGCAGCAAAGAGAGAAAGAGAATTGAAAATTTTGTAGGATGTTTATTTCTCATTGTTTATGTCTTTATTTATAGTAAACCATGAGGAAAGAGAATTGAAAATTTGTTTTAATATCTTATAATGTTAATTGTTACATTCCAAAATCATAGCCCAAAATCCATGTTCCATAATATAGAAAAAACAATCAAATACAAATGCTCAGCTTCTGGGTGGGCAAACTATGATTCGTTAAGTTCATTTTTCAAGATCTTGATGGGTAGATACCCACCCTCGCCATACCATAGATCTGCCCCTACTATTAGAAATTAGTTGCCCCCGTCATTTCCTTTGTTAGTCCACTCCAATATCTCAATAGTACCGAGAATGATATAATAACACAGTAACATGTAATTAGTTGTATTGGGAACAACAAATTGTTAAGGAAACACTTTATAAATAGGACAATGCTTAGGTACTGAACAATCAGTGCCTAATTTCACTGACCATCTATGTGGCCTAATAAGAGCAACTCCACCGTTGCAAAGGCCCCTTAGGGCAAATCACTATTGAATAGTCTCCAATGAACAGTAACTGCCTTTTGCATCGCCACCTTTACATCGAATAGCCCTGACAATAGGCAACAAAATATTAGTATTTTTTATTTTATAAAATAATAAAAAATAATTTTATTTGTAATTTCATATATGATTTTTAATCGGTCTCGTTTTAAATAAGAAATTACAACCCAAAGTATTTGAGAAAATATAAAATTATGTTGTAAATTGGAAGATAATGATAATATATTTATAGAAAAATTAAATCATTTTTTTTTGGATTTTTTTATTAATTTAAAAAAATTAAAATTTTTACTTTTTTTAAATTAAATTTTTACATTTTTTTAACAATATTTTATATTTTTATTAATTTTATATTATGGTTGACGTCACCCTAACGTCAGCCTTCGTCAACTAGCCTTCGGGCTCTCTGGCCAGCTACTCATGCTAGACCTCTCCCTCGGGCCTGCTCGGGCTCAATCGCCAACAAACGCTGGACCTCCTTGCTTGGGTGTTTTGGCACTATTTCATAGGCAGTCCATCGGGCTACAAGCACCGCTAGAGCTGCTCTAAGTTTGAACCATCTGTCAATCCAAGGACCTTGCCATCTCTGTAACCAAACAAAAATCCATGATTTAAACCCGTGACCAAACAATGGTCCTCCTCATCTCCAACAAGTCTGCAAGATCTTCACAACCGGCCACCGTGAACTCCTCGACTTCGCCATTTCAAGACATCACCAATATTGTCCTCCACAGCCACGTCGAGCTCAATAATCGGCCATTCGAAATCCTTGTCCTCGTAAGTTGGCGGATCCACGTCAAACCCGCATAGCTGCGTCGCCGTCAATCTCATTGCAACAGTGGAATCAACGGTTAGATGAGGGATTGGGACGGGCGGGGGGAGAAGATGGAGGAAAGAAGATGGGCTGAAGAAGAAACCATAGCCATGGCATGGAGATTAGCAGACATCGGAGAAGAAGAGTCCTGTTTGGTATTGGGTTTAAAGGGGTTGGTTTGCGTTTGGTTACGAGAATAGCAAAATTGAAATTAACATGTCTTAAATTTATTGGGCTACGTAGATGGTCAGTGAAATTGGCTACTGACTGTTCAGTACCCAACTTTGCATCCTTATAAATAAGTGAAAATCAAGCATACATTATGGGTTGCAACTTCAGTCAAATCTCTCCACGGTCAGCTTGTAAATCAATACAAATGCTATGACTTATGCAGCACGCAAGATGGATGAGGCGAAATTAGAGCATGTTCATAATGTGTTGGCTACCTAGCTAGGCGATCATGTTGGGATCTCTTTTTTTTTTTTTTTTTTTTTCTCTCTCTCTCTTGTTAATTCATTTTGAATTCTTTTTCTATTATCTCCCGTGTCTTCGCATTCTTTTCCGATCTTTTCATTGTTAAATTATAAGTCGTTGCAAGGTTTTAGATTCTTTTATTTTCACATTCTCACACATTTCTTTACATTTGAAAACTTTTTACATCAAACGTGTAAACAACACAACACATGGAGCACGTGTGAGTGATGCAGAGCCCATGTGGCACTTGGAATTCAGACATGGGCCAATCTAATCTAGTACTATAAAAAAGTTAAGGTTCCAATCCATATAACAATTACATGTTAAACATGATTTACATGTTTTTTAGTAGGAATGAGATTACCATGATTTACATGTTCTTTATATTCTCACAACAGAGACTAATTATATTTTAGCACGTATTATATATCTACAATTTTATCAAAACACAATGGGTCAGTTACCATATTAGCTGCAAGTGCAAGGATTTGAAGAAAGTTGAGATTCCACATAAAACCAAATGGCAATATGTGGAGTAGCTCAATTTACTTATAAACACATGCAAGGTCTCTCCTCCCATCAATGTGAGATCATTCTCAACACGCCTCCTCATGTGTGACTAATAGTTCCAAACCTAACAAGTGGACGATATAACAGCATGACGTGGAGTGCGTGTAGCCACTTGGCTTCACACGTGAGACAACCTACTCTGATACCATGAAAAAAATTGAGATTTCACCATAAAACCAATTGACAATATGTGGAGTAGCTCAACTTATACACATAAAATTCTTCTTCCATCAATATGAGATTCATTTTTAACATGATTAACCAAGGACGCTGTTAATCCGATAGAAGGTTTTGCATTAATATGATTTTCTTTTTCTTTTTCTCTGGGGCTGAGACCAAGAATTTTAATATATAAAGCACCAACTTTCGACAGAAGTTGCCCCATTCACCAAGCACCATATAGAATATGATTCCCAGCGAAACTACCTTGGTGCAGCTGCTGTCAAAGCGATCATAAAGCATCTTTTTTTTTCACTTAATTTTTCGTCGATTCCACGATTCCATCAATCGCCACTCAAAGTTTCAAATATATACTTAAATATAGACACACACACACATATGTATATATAATTCTGTTCCTCTAATGATCATTAAGCTTTTTTTTAGGTCGAAGATCATTCTGCTATGTTCTTAATCTAATTCAATTGGAGGATGATGAAATATATGATCCAGCCTATGTCGGTGTCAAAAGGATCATAGCCACTCATAAAGCTTCTTTCCTAGCAATCATCACATATTTATAGCCTTTATTTATTTATTTATCAATCATCTCTATAGTTAATTATAATTTTTTTTTCTCTATATAATAAGGTACGTTCTTATTATATACGTGTTTGGTAAACGTAATTTTAGAAACGTATATAAGCAGTTAATTCAAGTCGTTAGAAAGAATAAAGTAATGAGTTAGAATTATAATAAGTTAAAAGTTCAATTACTCGTTATGTAAATCAAAGGAAGACATGGTCCTCACCCTTTTGGGAGAGGATAGGTGTCTCGCCCGTGATTATTGGTGAATAGAAAATCTCACCTAATCTTTCTCCATTTGAAAAAAAAAAAAAAAAAAAAAAAAAAGACACAAACCCACTTCTAGTGTGGAAGTTAAACTTGTGGTCAGAGGGAGATTCAAATACCTCTATGAGTCTTCCTAGTCCCCGAAAGAGGTGGACAACAGTGATTTGCCACCAATTCTTCCCTTTTTAAACAAAAAAAAAAAAAAAAAATGAAAGAAAGACACAAATAAAACCCATATATATGAGCATTAATATCTTCATTTCTACTCATACTTGATTAAAATTGACTTAGTCAATCTCCTCCTAATGTACTTATTAGAAGAAATGTTTATTTTTTCTTTTTGTCAAGATAAGGGCAGGCAAATGCCATCATCAACGTGAATAATTGGATCTTTGGCTTGGGCAGCATGTCATTTCGAAAACATGTTCTAGTAGGACAATAATTTGTCACTTATTAAGACAGTTTTTGTTGGATTTATATGCACTATTCGTGGCTGCTAAGGATCTTATCACTAGAAAGGCCCCAAGTAAGTGCCATCCTCTCATTGGAGGATGGATAACGTAATATGTTCTAGTCAATAATCCCAGTGTACCAATTCTATAAGTTATTTCCAGTGACTATTGAAGATTTAGCCAGATTAGGAGAATTAAGAGCTTGTAGGTCAGCTAGTTAAAGCATCCATTCTACGTCTGATGTCTTGAGTTTAATTCTCCATCTTTCTAATCTCATTCCTACTAAAAAACATGTAAATCATTTCGACATATATCGAGTTGGATTATTTAGACCCCATGCCTAGGCTTTTAACTAAAACGATTCATGAAATTAGCATAACTCATCATTTGGGTCCATAAGATTTAAAATCAATAGAACTTCCTGAGTTTGTTCAACATCAATTATTTTAGTCTTTCGTGAAAAATCTCCCTTAAACAAGGATAAAATGAGAAAAATATCCTCAATTTTTGTCAAATAATTTTGGCCCATTGTTTATTAAATTGATAGTATTTTTGTCATTTTAGTCATTATTTAATAGAGATTTTTCACACAATGACCAAAATGATTGATGATGGACAAACTCAAATACCACTTTTATCAATTTCAAATCTTAAGAGTTAAAGTGAAGAGTTATATCAATTTTAGAACAATTTTAGTTAAAATACCAAATAAAAAATAAAAAATAAAAAATAATCATGCGTTGGTCCACTGAGGTGATATACTTGGATTTATTGTATTAATTTATACTATTGCAACGTGTTCACTGTTCATGTATTTGATTTCTACATAAAAATTAAATGACCTCAGTTATTCATTATAATTGATAAAATCTTATGGCAATACTAGGGTTTAGGGTTCATAATACCGTCAATAATTAACATGATAAAACATTTTGAGTCGGTTACCGAATTAGCACAACAACTAATCGTATCATTACTAGAGATTTTACTGCTTAATTCATTATATTTGCTAATTAATTAAAATTAGCAACCGACATTCGACATCGGATACGACAAGGGAAGAAGCATGGAAGTGAAAGTACAGTGTTGCAGACTGGTGTGAAAACAAGAGATGGAAGGAGGCAAGGGTCCGCAAGGAGACACACCCAGCTCGTGGTGGTCCCACTTTGGACCCCACTCGTATCCTTGCCATTTGCTCTTCTGGTGAAACATACGTCATCCGGTCATCATCTTTCGACAGGTAAGAAATCCAAGCATGCCAATGCCAACGTGTCATCGTAAGGGAACCATACTTCTTACTGCTGACCTTTTAAGTCAGAGTATCCTGGCAGTTACAAGTCCCAAACGCCAAATCTGAGAGAGTCTTTGTCACGATATAATGAAGGTTGATTGTTTGCTCTTTTATTTGGATGTTTTTTTTTATGTTTTTCTATTTTATGTGATTATTGTTAAATCACGTAAATATTTTATAATGATTTTTTTTATAGAGGTAATAAGATAAAAAGTAATAGGAATATAAAATGTTAACGTGACTTAACTGTAACCGTATAAATAGGAAGAGATGGAAAGGGCATCCAAACAGGAGGACAGACAATATGCCTTCCAATATAATTTCATGGAAGTTCTTCTCCGTTATTTCATTAATAGGATTGTCATCTACTACTTCGACCTAGCGAGCTTTACAAGGGAAGTTTAACGAAAAGTTCTTTGTATGGTTCACTTTAATGAAAAACTATATTTTATACTAAAAAGTCAATCATGATACTAATCACTTTATCTTTTATTTTACACTCATCGTTAAAACTTAAAATTTTCTAATCATTTTCATTAATTTTCCTTTATTTTTGGTGATAGTAATATCAGTACAATATAAAAAAAAGAGAGTATATTTTAATATCAAATTATCAACATTATAAGCAACACATCAACGGTTGATAATGTAACAACATTAGGCCGTCGGACAGATTACCTGAAATCTATGATCGAGGGGACCATATTCAGTGCATTCTTTGTTTGTTCTGCACCTTGCTGTAGCAAAGCACTTCCTTCATTGCTTTAAGTACTAGCTTCACATCACTATACACGGTACACGCTCTCACTACTTTTTATCATCCACTGTCTTTCACCATGCCTTCTGTTTCTCAGCAATGGCTGCTACTGCTTCTAATAACCACAGTACTAACAGTCTTCGCACGTGCCGACTTACCAGGCACGTGGGAGCTCCTCGTGCAGAACGCCGGCGTAGCCTCCATGCACACCGCCGTCACACGCTTCAATACCGTGGTGCTCCTCGACCGCACCAGCATCGGCCCTTCCCGCAAAATGCTCCGCAGGGGCCACTGCCGCAACGACCCCTACGACGCGGTTCTGAAGCGCGACTGCTACGCCCACTCCGTGCTCTTCGACCTCCAGACAAAGCAAATCCGCCCGCTCATGATCCAGACCGACACGTGGTGCTCATCCGGGCAGTTCCTCCCGGACGGCACGTTATTACAAACGGGTGGTGACCTGGACGGGGTGAAAAAGATCCGAAAATTCGTCCCGTGCGAGGCAACCGGGTCGTGCGACTGGGTGGAGCTTGCTGACGTGGAATTGGCCAACGGGAGGTGGTACGCCACGAATCAGATTCTGCCGGACGGGTCGGTGGCTATAGTCGGCGGGAGAGCGGCCAACACGGTGGAGTATTACCCGCCGAGAAAAGGCGCCGTTGCGCTCAATTTCCTTGCTGACGTGGAGGACAACCAAATGGACAATTTATACCCGTACGTGCATCTCCTCCCCAACGGCCACCTCTTCATCTTTGCTAACAACAAAGCGGTGTCGTACGATCACAACGTGGATAAAATCGTGAGGGAATATCCACCGTTGGATGGCGGCCCACGTAATTACCCGTCCGCCGGATCATCCGCAATGCTGGCGTTAGAAGGCGACTACTCAACGGCTGTGATTTTGGTTTGCGGCGGGGCCCCGTACGGCGCTTTCATCGCGAGGATGACCGACACCCCGGCGCACGGTAGCTGCGGGCGCATCGTAGCGACGTCGCCCGACCCGGTTTGGGAAATGGAGGACATGCCGTTCGGGAGGATTATGGGGGACATGGTCATGCTCCCAAGCGGCGACGTTTTGGTCATCAACGGAGCGCAAGCTGGGACCCAGGGCTTCGAGGCGGCATCCAACCCGTGCTTGTACCCGCTTCTTTACCGATACGACCAGCCGGTCGGCTTGCGGTTCATGACTTTGAACCCGGGAACCGTGCCCCGATTGTACCACTCCACCGCGAATCTCTTACCCGACGGGCGGGTATTAATCGCCGGAAGCAACCCGCATTATTTCTACAGATTCGACGCCGAGTTTCCCACGGAGTTACGAATCGAAGCGTTTTCGCCCGAGTATTTGAGTCCGGACCGGGCGAATCTTCGACCCATTATCGAGGGGATACCCGAAACGGTGCGCTACGGCGAGAGTTTTGACGTTTCGGTGTCGGTTCCGCTGTCCGTGGTGGGGGTTGTGGAGGTTAATTTGGGGAACGCGCCTTTTGCCACGCATTCGTTTTCGCAGGGTCAGCGGCTGGTCAAACTGGCCGTTACGCCGTCGGTGCCGGACGCTGAGGGGCGTTACAGGATTAGCTGTGTGGCGCCGCCGAATGGGATGGTTGCTCCGCCAGGTTATTACATGGCATTTGCGGTCAATCAGGGCGTGCCAAGTGTTGCGCGCTGGATACATCTGGTGTCTTGATGTATGATTTTAATTTTTGGTTAGAAAGTTCGTTAATGAATTAAATGTGGATAAGAACCGTAAAGCATTAATTGATATTTTGCTTCCTTTGGGCTGGTTGTTGGTAATTTCCAATTTGCTTGGATTTCAGAGTTACTGGTAAGAAGATAAATGGAAATAGACTAGTTGGACCTATAGAGATAAGAAGCGGGAGAACACTATATACAGATAAAATAAAATTATAAATTGAGAGCCTCTTAAATTAGAAGTTTTGTGCAGTGGCATCACTTGTACACGATCGAAGTCGGCTTTGAGAAAAAATTTGAACCCCTTTAATATAACAACGTAAGCGATTAGATTCCAAAGTCAAACAGGGAAGACTGGTGGTGTCTAATCCATTCATCAGCAAAGGAATAAATCAATGGAAAACGATATTTGTTATTCCCATAGTGGTTGTGAGTCCACTTGTGGCGGATATGAAAATGAGACTGCTGTTCTTTTTCTTTTTTAGGTAATCAAAAGTTTAGGTGGCGGGGAGACTACCCAATCATAGGGTTATAATATACTATAAGTCTCTTCGATGATTTATAAAGAGGGTCTTAACTATTTTTTTTTTGTTTGAAAATTTTATTTGAATCCATACAACCTCACTTTACACCCAACTTAAATCTTAATTGTGAATTGTCTTTTTAACCCTATGGTGTAATTACCATCAAGTACAAGATGAAATAAACACAAAAATCAAAATTTATCAATAAACACACATTCAATAATAACACCCTTACAATCACCAAGGATAACGTTGGAGACAAGTTTTAGTGGTAGTGTCCCGATAAATATATGTCAGAACTGAATCTTTCTTGTTAAGAGGGAATAGCCATCACTTGAAGAGAAAATTGATATCAAGGATTATTGAAATCAAATAATTGAAATGGGTAATTATACTTGCTAAAATCTCATTGAAACAATAACTTGCTTAGCGCATCAGGTGCGAAAGAAACCTACACGATAACCCAATCCAATTTTCTCACAATTCTCCACTAATTCAACCTCTAAATCACTGCACTCTATACGATTGGAAAATGCTAAGTTTCTGCAAACTAAAAAATATTTTGAATACATCAACGCTTGGGTTGGTTAGGTGAAGAAAACGAGCAATGTGAAATATGCAACAAAAGAAGGATTAAACACGAGACAAATATGTAAGATCTATTGTTCTCTTTATGTTTGAATGAGCTGTAAAAACTGATTTTGTGTTTTTATTTATTAATGGGTGTAAAGATAAACTTACCTATTAAATTGGGTTTGTGAAGGTAGTTTAAGTAATAAATTTGAGTTTAGAGAGACATTGATGGTTTAATTAAAATTTATATGGGTGTAAAGAGTAAGTTGGGTGTAGAAATAAGTCATATGGGTTCAAATAAAATTTCTCTTTTTGTTTTTACAGATTGCCCACTAAAAGAGATCGCCGACAACGAGATTCGAACTTAGGCCTTAGTTTAAAAAAGAGAACGATTCTTATCAACTCAACTAACCTTTTTTGACTCAAGAGACTTCAGTTCTTAGTTGTGCTTGTAACCATTGAAAAAGACCCAAAAAGAGCATCAAATTTTGTCACTCTAGTGGTATAGAATAGTTGGGACACCATGTTATGTGTCATTCTGGTGACACATTATAATCATCTTTAGCAGGACGCTTTTATTAATAATTATTAATATTAATAAGATAAAGATAAGTCCTAAGAATGCTACTGTGCACACTTTCATTGTGCAATGTAAGGCAAATATTTTAGAACCCAACTCTCTTATCTCATTCACCTACCAATCTTTGTTTTAGTAGTTGTTATTTCCACTTAGATCAGAGGAAGTCTCAGAGATCCACATGAATACAATTATAATACGTATTTACATTGTGTTTGATACTTAATTATAATTACGAATTTAAACGTATCTTGAGAAAAAATATGTTGTATTTGTTTTGATCAACTATTATATGAGATGGTTACATAATGCGAGTGAAATGCCTATGTCATTGTTTTCTCTTTCTCTCTCTTAATTATCAAGCAACTCATTACGCTATGCAAAAATATAGAGAGATTGATAATATACACCAATTCCAGGTGAGTTTAAATTGGAATTGGATGGCACCATTTTGTTTGCCTTGATATTTCTTTAAATACTGAAATTCAAGCCTTTACAAATTAATTTCAAGCACGATTTCATAACCTGTAGTACTTCAAACTTAGAAAGTAGATTATTTTTGGACTTAATAAACGATGGTTCAGTCAATATTGCTGATATTAAACTACAATATATGTGTATATATCATTTCATGGGATCGGGCCTCCATTTTCCGGTTCATCTTCATAGCTATCAGCCACAGCCACCTTCTGCACACTCTTGTAAGAATAACGCTGAGCCACGAAAACATAAACACACAGATTTGCAGCAGCCACGCAAGCCAGGAGCCAATAAAACCTGTCTAATCGACTGCTGTTCAAATCCTTCCCGAACCAACTCTTCCCGACATTGTCCGTGATGTGATCAACGGCCGTGATCAAAAGGCTGCTAAGGAAGTTCCCAGCTCCGATCACACTGAGGTATAAAGCAATGCCTAAGCTTCTCATGGAGTCCGGAACTTGGTCGTAAAAATACTCCTGCAACCCCACAAGAGTAAACCCATCTCCAAACCCAATGATCAAAAATTGTGGTGCCAACCACAACACGCTCATGGAATGCGAACCTTTTATTGGGTCAATTTTGACAAGCCCTAGTCGTTTCTTCTCCACCAATGCAGCTGCTATCATCGTAGCGATGGAGAAAATCATTCCGATTCCAATCCTTTGGAGGATGTTGATTCCTCTTTCGTTTCCGGTTGTCCTTCTTAGAATCGGGACGAGGAGTTTTTCGTATAATGTGACAGAGACGATCATTCCAATGGCAGCGATTGCATAGATTGAGGCAGGGGGGACCTCAAAACCATTTGCAACCTCTCTGTTCATGGTGGCACCTTGTTTGATGAAGAATGTAGAGGTTTGTGCTACACAAAGTCCAAATGGTAGAGTTGCTAGCCAAATGGGGATCAAGTTTAGAACAAGTTTCATCTCCTCCACCTTGGTCACAGTTGCTAGTCTCCAAGGACTTGGCTTCTCGGTCAAGTTTTGCACACTTATGATTGCCGCCTTGTCAAGAAATCTGAAACACGTGATGCCAAGAAAATCTTGTTCTTATAACATTTTTTGCAGTGATTATATTATACAAAAATAACAGTTTGATAATACAACATGTCAAATTTGATAACATAACATGTCATATTAACATATTAGATATGTCGCATGTGAACGTTAACCTTATCGTATATAAACAAGGAACATATTGTGTTATGTAAACAAAGGATATCATCACTTCACTTACTTGAGCTTCTCGGTGTGGCACAGAAGCCTCCCATTGACCTTTTCCGATTTGGAGATTTCATACAATTGAGCAGGGTCAGAAGGGTGAGGCAGACTTCTCTTAGCAATGGCAGCTACAAGAACCTGCAACATTGGTGTCAAGGGGCTTCCACTTGGTTTCCGATAACGGTAATTCCGCCTTCCAATTATGAAGATAGCAAGTGATACAGCCATGACTGCAGTGAGAACAATATCAGCAACACCCCAACTCACATGGTCTTGCACATACACAACCACAGTTACCCCAAGTAAAAGCCCACAACAAAGCCCAAAATTCCACCAATTGAAAAAGGACATCTTTTGCTTCCTTTCTTCGCGGTGATCGTCATCGAATTGGTCAGCTCCGAAGCTTTCCAGGGCAGGCTTATGACCCCCAGTCCCTATAGAAACTAAGTAGATTGCAAGGAAGAACACAACTTCATGTACTTTTCTGGGTTCATGACATGCTTTTGTATCACAAGGCCTCAAGCTGGGTAAGAACCAGGACATGCACAGAAGAATCAAACCCTAAAACAACAGAACAGTCATATTCTTAGTAAATTAATAGTTTATAACAAATTAATTTGCTTCAACTGGGCGATGCTATTTGGCACACAAAATGGAGACACTCTCTAATACAAGTGAGGCGCACATGCTAGTCGTGATTACATATATTAGAGATCAAAATGTCAGTAAGTGTTTTAATTTTGTGTGTTCAAATAGTTTAATTGTTCAAACTGTAAACGAAATTAACTACCATGAGGTAAATGATGGATGAAAAGAGAACTGTTTTGAAGCGCCCCAAGTAAGCATCAGCTATGAAGCCGCCAAATAGCGGAATCAGTGTGGTGACACCAGACCAGTAATTGACACTTTTTGCTGCGGTCTTGAGGTCGTCATGCAGTACTCTGGTGAGGTAAAGAATTAAGCTAGTTGCTATTCCAAAGTAGCTCAACCTCTCACTGAACTCGATTGCTACACACACAGAGGATGATCACATACGTACAGTTAAAATTGGAGAAGTCAACTAATAGTTAATTATCAGATAAAATTCAGCTGAAGAATTTGAACCAAAGAAAGAAAACTGGTTCACATAATTTTGTGCCTTGTTATCTGTGATAGTATCACAGTATTATCCTGATGCTACAGGTATGGAAAATGTACAAGGATTATCTGCTCTCCCACTTCTGGTGCCCTCCCGTACCCTCTTGTTTGTATGGTCACGGTTAAACCACGTCAACATTTTATATTACTAATCATTTTTGTCTTATTATCTCTTTAAAAAAACAATATAAAATATTAACGTGGCTTAACCGCAACCACACAAAATAGGAGAGCACGAGAGGGTACCAGAAATAGGAGGGTAGACAATCCTTGTCCATGGAAAATATGGATAAAATGGCCATTCAAAAAGTAAGAAAAAGATAGATTTTGTAGCTTTGGAGTACCACTACAGGTATGGCCCTTCGAAAACCTTATCTGGTTTACTTCCCTCTCAAAATTTCATTAAATCAAAGCTATACCAAGGCTATCATGCATAAAAAAACATAATAGCAAAAGCTATTTCTATACATGCTTAAGTTCTTTTTTTCTTTACATATATATGTCTTATTGAGGGGAAAGATTTTTCTGCTACATAATATCTCGTACCAATGATAGAATGTTATGCATAAGATTTTCTTAACATATATATCATTGCATTATTACTAAATAACTATGACCGATGCCATTTAATATATTGTTTCCTCCTGTTAACCTGAAATGGCTGGTAGGCCTTATTTATCGGGGTTTAGGATTTAGCTAGGGAGCCAGTATATAATTTTAGAATTATTAAGATATACCACATGATCTTGAGCATAAAATAGACCCGCATATATATAAAGTTTGCTCTAATTTGATATGTTAGGTGATTAAATTATGAACTAAATATGAGTCACTAATTACATAGGATAGTGCTGTTTATAGACCTATTCTTACTTTTCATACACCCTTGTTAATTTTTGGTTATTCATCTTTTTCAATTCATTCGATCTGTTATCAGAAAATGAAGAGAGATGTGTGAGAAATAAAAATAGGTGTGTGGATAGCACTACTCATTATATATGGGTGAACTTAGAAGTATTTGTGGCTCTAATTAACTGAATTTTCCAAAATATTTGCGAGCACAAAAGCACTAATTCGTAGCTTGGTGACCTTTTTCAGCACTTTGTCGATTACTTGTGTTAATCGGGTAGGATGGCCACTAACCCTAAACGCTATACACACACACACACACACACACACACACACACACACACACAGAGTAAGTGTGCTGAGGCTCCGGTCCCTCACCACAGGCACTCTTAGCTCATATCACATATATACTCACGGCCTACATACATACATATATATATATATATCCACCTTCCGTGGTTCTGCTTGAAAAAAGTGATAATACAATACAAGACAGCAAAGCAACATAAAAGTATACAATATTCGTTTTGTGGACGATATTTTCGTCAACAAGTTATATATTCCTACGATGAAAATATATGTATTTCAACTTCTATTGTATATGAACTGTTTATCATGATCTTCCACGGCTAAAACTTAGACAAAAATAAGTAAGCCAAAAAAAGAGAAATCTTGCAGAGCATATGACAGAAGCAGCAAAAAATATAGGGGTGTGCTATCCACACACCTCAAATTACTTCTCACACACCCCTTGTTCATTTCTGTCCGTTGATCTTCTTCAATTCATTTGATCTGACGGACCGAAAATTAGAAGCATGTGTGAGAAGTAACATGAGGTGTATGGATATCACACCCCAAAATATAATTGCTCAAGCAAATGCTCAAGCAAAGTAGCATGAAATTACAGACTTTATTTTTGGCAATCAAGAGAAACTTACGTATTACGTCTATATTTAGTAGTTTGGCATAAATATTATTTCTTACCAACAATAAAGAGAGAGGCTTTCCAAACACCAGTTGAAGCTCGGATAGGAATGTTTCCTTTATGATCCAGGGAAGAATCATAAACCCATTGCTCCTCATCTTCAATAACTTTGCTCGACTTTGCTCCCCTTCTTTCTTCCATCTTCACTAAGAAATTGAACTTCTTGTACTAATATCACTTCCAAAGAAGGAAGCAAAAGTATTTAGATCAAGGCTGTGTGATTCCTAACAAGATGGAAATCTGGTATACATTTATATGTGGGTTGGTGCAAGGAACATTGACTTTGGTTCTCTTTATATAGGGGAGGGAGGACACTCTTCACATGTTTCTCTTTTTGAAATTCTTCAAGTTACCGTATGACCGATACGTGTCAGTATCGAGACCATATATTTAGTGCATTAATTTATTCAGATTTTGTTAAATTTTAGAATATCGTCAAATGAGATATCAAAATTGCCACGTAAAACACATAATAGTGAAAAATGGCAGCAAGCTCCATCCAACCAAGTCTGCAGTTTCTTACGTGGCGCTAAGTCAATTGAAGACAAAGTTTTTTGCTGTCAAATTTGGCAGCAGCAGTCAAATTTATTTAATTTTTTAATAGATGTGATGCAATATATAATAAATATTATTGTGTGTTCCAAATATTAGATTAATTGTCTCAATAATTGATCCGATAAAAAGATGAAAATTTTGAATATTTGATTGGTTATCTCAGTAATTGACCCCACAAAGAGATGAAAAAAATTATAAAATGACATTATTATTTACCCTATTAGGTGGAGCAAAAAGTTGTGCAAAATATCAAATTGCCATAAGTCATTAAGTATATCTTAATGTTTGAAATTTGATATCTTCCTTGATGATGCTCTTAGTCATTACGAGAATTTGATTGCATAAAACACTTAGCAAGCTTATTAGCCCTTTTTTATTCTTTTTTTTTTCTCTATCGACCTAATGTTATACTTAAGTTGCTTCGAGCCTACTTTGCTAATGAAGTCAAAATATAGAGACTCGAGATTTATTATGTTTTTAATTTTAACAATAAAAGAATAATAAAGAATTAAGCGGGTGGTACAAGATCTATAATATAAGTATAGAGTAAAACGTAAATAGTAGTACCAATTATTCTCCCACTTTTTCCATTACATCTTAGTTAACTTGGGAATCTCTCTCAATTTTATTTTTTTTTTATTTTGGATCAATGGGAATCTCTCTCAATTATGAAATTTATTTTCATCTTTTTTTGGCAAGATTTTTTGATACATTTTTGGCAATCGTTATGAAAGAGGAAACGTCCTTTCAATTAAGTGTTTGGAACAACGGGTGTTACTATATAAATAGTGAGATATTTGTGTTAGAATAATAAATTTAAGTTTGACAACTTATGTGCCACTTTGATATTTTTTTGAACAAACGATATTATCTACACTAAAAGGGAGGGGGTGAACTTAGTCTCACAATGTGCTAACAACAATGTGGTTCAAACTCATGTTTGGCGAGAATCGAATCTAAAATCTCTCACTTACAAGTGATGAGAAATACTACTAGATCGTTATACTAAGTGACTACATCTTTTAAACTATTATTTTATTACATAATCTTTGTTTTATATTTAAATTATATATTTATACACACACACACTTCATAATAAAATTCATATTAATTAATAATGGAATACCAGAGGCTGTAAAGAAGACGATACATGACACCAATAAGCCTGATGCAAGGTCTATTGTCGGTGCTACCCCGAAGGTTATCCATAGCAGAATAACGGAGAAGCCAGAAGTTCATGGTGCTGCACGTGAAGCTGCCCTTCGTCAAATCAAGATAAGAATCAAGAAGACCAAGGATGAAAAGAATGCCAAGAAGGCAGAAGTACTGAAATCTCAGAAGACTCAAGGCAAGGGCAACATTCCCATGGGAGGTGCACCCAAGGGACCAGAGCATGGCGATCGTGGTGGCAAGCGTTAGCCACCGTTCTGTTGTCCACTTTCTGCGGTGTAGAGTAATAGATAAGACGTGTTTGTTAGTTTGAAGATTTTGTAAGGATTGCAATGGTCACATCAATTAACAATTAATTATAGTAAATATTTTAAAACAATACAAAAATTAATAAAATGCATTTAGTAATAAATTAAAATTTATTTGAAGCATTAACTAACATCAGCTTCAAAGAATTTTTAATTCATAATTAAATGCATTTTATTTATTGTTTTAAAACATCTACTATAATTAATTGTAAGATCTCATATCGTCCAAGAGAGTGGATCATGTAAGCCTTATATGTATATTCTCATCTCTACCTAGCACGAGGCCTTTTGAGAGCTCACTGATGTCGGGTTCCGTAGGAACTCCGAAGTTAAACGAGAAAGGGGTCAGAACATTCCCAGATGAGTGACCCATTGAAAAGTTCTGCTCAAGTGAGTTCCTAGAAACAAAACTGTGAGGACATGGTTGGGGCCCAAAGCGGACAATATCGTGCTATGGTGGAATCGAGCCCCCATATTTTAATAATTTGATCTCAATTCTGTAAGACTTGAAAATTCTTTACCGAAACATTGCCTTTATAGTCAGATGAAAAAAATAATAATTATAACAATAAATAGAACAAAAACAAAAGTATATGAAGAAATTATTGGAATAGTTGCACAAAATTCCTTAACATTATGTTTGGATGAGGATAATAAATTTGAAATTTAGACAAGATACAAAATTTATAAATTGATATGCACAAATTCTCTTGTTTGAATTCATAAACCTAAAAATTTAGAATTTTCTAATTAAAAAAAAAAACCTTAAAATTTAGGACTTCTAATTTCCAAGTATAAATTTTATGTAAATATGTGTTATTTTCAAATTTTTACGAGTGATAGTTGAAAAATAAAAAAAAAATACAAAAAACTCAACCATGAGGCCACCACCATCACATGTCACCCCACACCCACCCACCACCCCACCACAACCACCCCCCCCTCCCACCAACACCAACCAACATCATGGCAGCCGCTGCCGCCAGATACCATTGTGGCCCTTGCCATTGTCTCCACCACCACTAGCACATTTTCTATCTATTTTCTCTTATTTGTATATTAATGACTCAATACAACAACAAATTCCGTATTTAATTATATACATTATTCTTTAGGTTACCTTGTCATTTATATTTTATCAATTTAGAATTCCTTAATAATTTTAAATTTCCTCAATCAAACACAATGTAAAGCTCGAATTAAGCTGCTTTTCATCACTCAAGTTCCTCTACTTGCTAATCTTCAACAAAGTTTATCAACTCAAGTCACATTTTACTTTTGTTATCGGTCCCTCACTAGACTTTTCCCTTTTATCTTTTTTATTTTTTATTTTTTATATTTTTTATGTTTTTTTGTCTTACAAAGGCCAAGCAGCAACTAACTAAAGATGAGAGGAGGAGGTGACTGAAGTGAGAGGATAGATTTTACACATGGATAAAGGAAGAAGAGAACCCACCACATAGGGTGGAAAATCCATCACTACTAAGGATGGAAGAGCCATAAAAATGATGGAGGAAAGAAGAAATAAGAGGTGCCGCCCCGTAGGGCGGCGGAAAAACCAGAGCGAGTTTTGGGGTTTTTTAGAAGAATTTTTCCGATATATTTATAACGTGGTAATCATGAGGTCAGTACATTCTATGGCGTATGAGCTATGGCTCGACTGTGCGTAGGAGAAATATTTCTGTCATTGTTTAATCTTGACCAATTAGCTCAAATCGTATTAGATAATAGCTTAATGGACCACTTTAATCTATTTACTAATCCCCACTCCACCGCTAATGGATCCATTTATCCACGTGACTTTATTAACTGATATTTTAGACAATTAGATGAGTTGCTAAAATTCTGACGTTCTCAAATTGGCCTTGCCGATTCACGATGTGAGTTTCACCGGATCAAACTCCACTCATCAAGAAAGTTGAAGTTGCTTTGTTCTTACATGTATCAAATGGCTACTTGTCTGTTGTCATGCGTGTAATTCATATCCAAGCCGTTGATATGTTAGAGGCGTTGTTTGCCTTACTTGCTATATATCATGGATGTGTAACATCATCTCTCATCATATCATGCATCTCATCATCAAAACAATATTAAATTATAAATAATAACAAATTATCACAATCATATTCTAACAAATTGCACATCAAATCATGTTAGAGCATCCTCAGTGAGGGGCTCTATATGAGGTCGGAAAAGTGGTGAATATAGCCCATTTTAGAGCTCCGATAAATCTTTGGGACTTTATAAAAGAATCTCTCCCAATGATGGACTATATTTTTTGGGCTCTATATGGGGCTATATATATTTATTTATGTAGTAAGTTGATTAAGCAATGATTTATTTTTATTTTTATTTTTTGTGTTAGTTTTTCTTAAGTTGATTTTTGAACGTGCTATCCTAAATATTTTATGAACCCTTCAACCTAAAAGGTTCAAATTGTGACAAAATTAGATTTCATCACTTATGAATAGTTTGTTGGATTAGATTCCTTGATCTCAATCTCATCCGTTGAAAGAAATAAACTCTCACTTCACCCTTTGAAATAATTGGATTTTCACATATAACACAACAATTTACCTAGCACCAATTGGTAAATTAGTATCGTACAATTTTGAAAAAAATTATTTGAAAATTTCACCCATCAATGCCCATGAACATTAAATCAATTTGAAATTTTAATTCTATTGGAATTTAAAACAATCATTAATTAGCCAAAATTGCAAGAAAAATAAGTAAGAAAAAAGAATTAAAAATAATAATAAAAGAAGAGTATAAGTGTATTCGCAAGTGGGGGATGAGAGAGAACTTTGCTTACATGGGTTGCTACTTTTTTGGTGGGATCCACTGTTTTTTAGGGCTAGATGTAGCCTGATTTTATGTTACCCAATTAAGAAAGTTGTTAGCCCCAGTGGTGTATCTAGCCCCATTTTCCGGCTCATTAAGGATGAAATTTCTCGCTAAGGCTAGAAATATAGAAGTATCATGAAGAATAAAGCCCCCATTAAAAATGCTTTTATACATGTTTAGCTAGTCTCCTCCATATCAAACATGGCCGACGGGAATATATAAAGATTCAGCACTTCAGAACTATAGTGGCATGCAATACCAACAAACAAGTGGTCAGAGCATGTGAAAGTACATATGGCTACATGATTTCGATTTAAAATCAGGCTTAACCTTTCAAAAAGCAAACGTTCCGTTAAAATATTGAAAATAAAAATCAGTCTAAATTTTATTTTCAATATTTTAGCAGAATATGTAAAAATTTAACTTAAAATCTAATAAATTTCTATCTTTCAGAAAAAAAAAAAAAATCCAGCTTCCTTGGCAACCTTAGAAATGTCAATAAAGCTGCCAACTTTTGCCCCATGATGGAAAGAATCGAACCAACACACTCACAACAGTGCAGTGACTCTACTGAGAATATTTTGCTAGCAACAGTTGTATACAACAATAGTGAATTTAGTGAAATATTTTGCTAGCAACAGTTGTATACGTGTGTTTAATACGACTGTGTTTAGCTTAGCTCATCTTATTAGAGAAATAGACTAGTATATATCGAACTTTTTAATGAATGATTGGACTACTAATGCAGTTGCAGAAATATTCGACTTTATTTCCTATCCAAATCGTATAAGAATCTTATTAATTAGTGCTCTAAATTTTCATCCCTTTGATGGGTTGAACTAAACCTTTTGTATATCCAGAAAAGAAACCACGAATGACATCAGTTGGAATTGTTGGAAACATCACAATCCCATATTATAAAATGCTAATTAGAGAGACTAAATTTATAAACTAAATGATGTGTTACCAATAAAAATGAGCACGTTTATCAATGCTTAAGTAATAAACCAATCATCAACTTCTATGTCTTTTAGTTTCTAAAATTTAGTCTGCAAATGTAGTCTCCCTAACATTACTCAAAATAAAAATATGAAATGTGAACTTTTATACTTTAAAATTTTCTAAATCAGCAATTATTTTAGTGAAGCTGTTTTGTTAAGTCTGGAATAAAAACACATGAGATGTTGATGACATTTTACTTTTTATTTTTATTTTTATGAAGAACTAGAGAGTAATTCCATTTAAACAAACTCAAATACTTCACAAAGAGGACCTTCTGAATAATGTCATGAGGAGTACTCAAACCAAATTAAATTAGTGATAACTCTTTAGTCTAGTTAATTTACTCTATTGGGATAGTTGTATTTTTCCTTGTATTTATATTTATTACTCTTGCAGCACTATTTATTTTTTCGACCCCAAAAAAAAAAATTGGTCTTGCAAGAGTAATAAATATATCGTAATGTAGTTGTCGTAGCAAAATGTCTTGCGAGATACAAAATATATAGTCATTCACTAAATTTTGTATTTCCTTTTTTCTCTATACTATTTTCTTCCATCACTAAGTAGTGAATTGCTCCGGTGGTTAGGGCATTCATCTTCAATCCACTATATTCGAGACCGTCCTCCCTCCCCTTAGCCCAATTCCAATGGTTGGGTTAAAACCTAAAATTTAGGCCCACCATTGCGTGTGGATGCGCCAGACTCAAACTCACTCTCAACACACTAACACACCAACACCCTTGCACACGACCCATGCAACAGGCCAGTTAACGTTGGGACCCTGCGGACTGACACTTATTGGTCACTTGCACAAGCCCAATGACTTTCTTTGTGATTGAATGACTGAAAATAATGGGAAGTTGGTTGATCCGATTGTCCAGATTCAAACTTATTTTTGTTAATTTTAATTTATAAGTTTATTGAATTCAACAGCTGAGATCGAATATTATTAAATATAGCGGTAGAAAAAAAATCCAATGGCCCAAAATTAAATTCAAAGGCTTAAACAATTAAAAACTGTTTTTGGGGTAGGTTTAGTGAATTTTCATTGTTTACCAAAATGTAAATATTTTTAGGTTACAATGTTAATAA